AAATCCTAATTTTCTAAAAGATCCATTTTACTTTTCAAACAAATTGCTCCTGCTCACACAGTCTCGCCATGTTTCCATCAAACTTTGCTTGATTCATCCCTAATTCTCTCCCCTCCTAGCTACCCCTCGCTGTTTCTTTCTGTCTGTCTCTTTGTTTTATAAAAGCACAAATACAGAATACAGTTATGAAAACTCTACCTCTCTTCACAGTTGGGAGGTGCCAGCTTTCCGCCAAATTTTGTCTAAGCAAACTGAGAAGCTCCAGCAGTGAAGCTTCCTAAGTACATAATCTTAATCAGATTTTAGAGGAAATTACACCAGTGTAATTTCCTCCAAACTGTTCCCTGTTTACACAGAGGTAAACAGAAAACAGTGTGAAGTAAAATTAAAAAAGCCTAAAAATCCATAAAATCAGTTTAAGGTGCAGAATTTATCGCTGCTGCTTTGCTCGTCCGCATTTTTATGGACAGTGTTTTATGTTCTAATCACTCTGTAATTGATTTGCCTCTTTACCATCTGTGCTTTTAATTGTTTCGGCAGTTTGTGATCCCGTTTTGTTTTGGTCTCTCTGAAGCACTGTGTGTAAAATCACTTGGGCTTTAAATTTGTCATTTGTTATTATTACTTTTTAAATTTTCTGTCCCTTTTCGGGGGAGCTGTCTTGAATTCTGTGTCTTTCATGTTGATATTGCACTGTTTCCTGAGCAGTTCTGAACAGAATCAGTGGTTTTGTTTGGTCAAAGTGTTGCATGACGTTCACATTGAGCAGCAGAAAGTTAACGTGGTAGTCCTTGACGTTGTTTTTTTATTCATTAATTGCTGTCGTTTGTCATGTACGTTAAAGCTTCTCTAAGCCATGCAGCTGTATTGACAAACCCACAGAGAACCTATAGCCTCCTTCAGGTCTGATGAGCTTTGTAGCAACTTTACTTCACTGCCTTTGCTTTCTGGCCCAAAACTTTGCTGTTTTGATTCATTCTTGCTGTTCTCAAAACAGTGTTATCATTCACAGCAGGCAGCTGTTTTAAACAGAAACACTGCAAGCACCAAACAGTAGGCAAAATTGGTTTCAAGCAACTAGTTTGAGAAAAAAAATGGAAGACTTCAAATAAATGACAGTGCTACTTTGTAACTGTTTAGGAGCGAGGCTGTGATTCCCTCAGGTCAGGATCAGTGGTTTGTTTTAAATATTAAATATTAAAGCAGTTTCTATTTGTTTTAGATGGCTTAGCGAGCTATGTCAAGCTTAAAGTCTGAGTTTTTTCTGTGTCATGAAAGTAGCACTCGTGTTACCGAGCTAAATGATCATGCTAACTTATGCTAAACATATAACCTGAATGGGAGCAGGTTATGTTTGAGGTTTTGTTTTAAAATCGGCTGACAGCGCCATGTTTTCACTGATTCTTTCATTTACAGCATGTTTGAAGTTCATTATACATTCTCTGCTGGGAAATACTTTTGTTGGTAAGCCATACCTTAAATATCGCTATAGCTGAATTTAATGTGCTGCTAAGTTTCTTTTAGTCTGCTGGAAATGCTGCTACTATAACACAGAACACACATTAAGAATACTTTACCAGTCATTATAATTATTTCACTTTGAACTGCCAACAAACTGATGCGATGCTGGGATATGTGCACTTTTTGATGTTTGGATGTTATATATATTATTTTGGATAAACTGTAAACTAAGCTAGTGTATTAGGCTTCATGGTTTTTCTATTTTTAAAAATCTTCTTCAGCACCATGTTGTACCATGGCTGTGAAGGCACAATGCTTATATATTTAGCCAGTTTTATTTAGCCTGTTTTGGAAAAAGAGAAGCTGCTCATTTTGTGTGTGAAATAAAGCCCTTCCTACAAAAACATTATATGGCTCTCCTTCAGTAAAAGTACAACAGTGGCTTCTTCTCTGGGCCCTGCAACAGCTAGTGCACTTGTTTGTTTACACAGGAGGTAATCCGCTTGTTGCACATTGCTTTATTGCTCATAGCTGGTGCTACCGGATATACCAAGCGCTGGTCGCCTAGGTAACCTTCTAATGTATTTGCCACACAGTGATATGTTACTCAAAGGTATCCTTAGTGGTTATTTTGCCAGGCTTGAAGTTGCTGACTAAAGAGGACAGAAGTTAGAAGAACAACACATCTAAACTCATAGAACAACAGTATAGACACTTAATAGTTATAGATTTATAGATTATGAAGCAGCTTTTTATTTTGGTGGTGGGTCAACAGGTGGAAAAGATATTGAGATGTCTGCAGTGTGTGCATCAATGCAGGAGATTTGTTTTGAGAATATAAAATGATGCTGTTAAGTTGATCTATAGTTTGTTTTGTTTTTTACGTCTACATCAGCAGCAGCAGAAGTTTGGGTTCTGTTTAACATCTTAGTGATAAGTGTGTTCCATATTTATCCTTACGCTACTTGTGTATTTGTACTTTGGAATCATTTGTCACAGATTTCTAGGTTTCTGTTAGTCTGACCTTTAATGTTGGCTAAAGTTCACTCGGTGCTCAGACAATCCAGTGCATAAAATCACTCTGACTATGAACAGATGAAGTCCAGAAGTCTTTGTTTACAGTGTTCAACACTGTTACCAAATGTTACCAGAGCAGCCTTTGCTAATGTGAATGTTTCTGCGAATATTGTTATTGTTACCGAGTCGTTTAATGCGATTTCTTTGATTACAAGACGGGACACATTTTGGTGTAACATTAACCTCTCACATGTCACCGATTGCTCAGTTTCTTTTGTGACGTGCAAAACACACCCCCTGACTAAGCACACACACACACACACACACACACACATAGAGACACACACACGGACACACTAGACAATGGGTTCATTCATTCATTTTCCCACTTTGTTCCTTCTTTTTTTCTCTTTTTTTGTCTTATCTTCTTATAAACACAGTGAAGCTCAACAAACCAACACACACACACTAACTCAATCTTTTCACAGACTCTGTGACCTGGATTCACTCCAGTTTGTCTTTTTACAGACTGTTTGACTGTTCAGATGTACCAGAGCAGGAACTATCTTTCCTGGTACCACTTAAACAAATTATTTGGGAGTGGCATGCTCCTGAACAAAAATGACTCCCTTGTTTTAGGCAGTCATGTGTTCACAGTATGCTACAGACATGCAAATAAAATGTGTTAATTGAGCACAGAAAAACACCACTAAGTGGAGGACAAAGGATATTGCACATGTCAATAAAGGTGGCTATTACTAATCAAGTGTTTCATTTTATACGCCATAAATAAAAAGGTTTTCACATTACATTAAGCACGGTACTACAGGAGTTAGCTGTGGCTAAAACTGTCTTATATTTGGCTACAGTTTGGTTGGAGAGCACCACAGATTAAAAGCTCATATGCAGTCATTTTTTTTTCTTCAGCCTTTGTCTTTGATGTGAAATAACAATAGTATAAGGAGAAGAAGCTGTTAACTACATACAAGCCAGGAGGTGGCTTAAGGGCTGACAAATGAAGCTATCGCGGCCTTTACCAAATCCTTCACTTCCTTAAATGCTCAGCTACTGTGAAAGCTAATTAAACCTGCATTCTTTCAGGTGGCCAGCAGGGGGCACCTACTGTAACTACAAAAAGAAATCTGAGTACAAAAAAGTGTATGAGAAAACAACCCTTCAGCTCACTCCACTATTTAAACATAATATACAATTTGTAAAAGATAGTAACCAATAATGGTAAACCAGGGTATAATTGGGGGTGGGCCTATCTTGTGGTTGATAAATAATTGTCGCTGTTAGCTTTCAGGGATTTGAGTGAGCATCACCCAGCATTTTGTCAGTCTGATCCACCAATCCCTCAAAATATTCAAGTTAAAAACATTAAGATGCAGACAGTCATCAATATAAGACTTCAAGATGAGATTTTTACATTTATCATTTGCTAATGATAGTGCTGAAAATTGCCAGTTTACAGGTGGTGCAAAAGTGATTTTGGCCTCATTTATTTGACTCATCAACTTAAATTCGATTAAAGCTGAAATATTCCTTTCCCTTTCGTTATTACAGGCATGGCTACTCCTGACTGACAGACACCAACACATGCCACTATTTCTTAGGCATCCGTTTGGGTAACTCAATGGACATCATGGTCATGTTTGTGATGTTGGTGGCTTTCTGGAGCATTTTAAAGGAATTATCTGATAAATAATTTGGTCTGAACTTTGATTATTTGTACTAACAGCCTGCCCTAGAAGTATATATTCTGGTACTGGTGAGTGAAATTCAAAAATATATCATTTCAAATATACCACATTTTGCACAAATTAGGGAACAACTCTGTAACCATGCTTGCTGCTGTTAGCTGATAAACATTTAAATATGGTCTTAAAAAAGACATAGTAAAATTAGAGGCTTCAAAACTGGACTGCACAAACTTTTAACTTCTTTAACTTAAAGATATGACACTGTGTCCTGGCACTGCAGAACTTATGATACTTGAGCCTAGTTTCCGTGTTAATCTGTAACCTTAGTAAGCGCAAGTTATAAAGAGACGTTCTTCTCTGAGACACACGACTGCTGTCAAACTCTATGGAAAGGATCTTTGAGATACTGTTTTATTAGATTTTTACTTCCTCTGAAGTTTGTTCTTACTCTAAATTAGTACAGAAAACATGTTTCAAACACACAAAATTATACCCTTGAGATCATTTATGCAGCTGTTTTTCTATAAATGCACAACATAAAAGTTCACTGCAGTTTAATTCTGCAGTTTTACCGCCCTTTCCCGCAGGTAAAGAACAAATAAAAAAGTCTTTCATAAAAAGATCATAAACTTAAAAACGAGACATGAGGTCACGTGAGCCTGCTGGTACAGAGTCAGGTGCACAGTGTGTATTTTTATTCACACTATGTGCATGTTACACTCAACATTTTCTGTGCTGTGTATGTGAGTCGGTTTTTCAGTTTCAATATGAAAACTAGTTCTACGTAAAAAGGGAAAGATTAAAAAAAAGTGGTCTTACCTGAGTGAAGTTTTATCTAAATTTGTTCCTGTTTTTCTCTCAGGATATTTTCTCTTCTTCTTTTACTTCTTGTCTTCCTTTCTCTGGTGTTGTTTTCTTCTTTCCTTCCTTTCCTTTTTCCTTCAGCTCCGCGGCCGTCACTGAGAAGGTGTGCGTGGAGGCGTCTGAGCTTGTGTGTGCGTGCCGCGGCAAAGTGTGTCGGTGTGTGTGTTTCTGGAGGCTGGTAAGAGAGCGACTCTGCTTTGTGCTGCCGATCTCGGTGAGTGTGTTGCTGCAACTGACTGAGTGACTGCGAGAGTGAGAGAGAGAGGGAGGGAGTGTGTGTCTGTGAGTGTGTGTGAGAGAGAGAGATAGAGGGAGAGAGGGAGATTAGTTCATACACAAGCACATCTCCGCCTTTAGGGAAACACCCCTCTCCTTCTCTTTCTTGCTTCTCTTTTCTTCTTTTCTTTATTGCTTTCACATCAGGTCTGCTCTTTCATCTGATTACGCTGAAGGGCTCATGATGGAGCAAAACATTTCCAGTCCTCCTCTTCCATCTCCCTCCTTTCAGCACCCATTCGACCGGAGCAGATCCTCCTGCTTGATTCTGGATTTTTAACCTTCTCTTTTGTTGTCCTCCCTCCTCATATCCCCCCCTTTCAGTTTGCCGTTGCAAGTCCCCCGAATCATAAATAAGTTACAGAGCAGACACGAAACAGCACAAAAGCAACAAAACAACTCAAAAATCTCTGACTGGCTTCTCTTTGTGAGCTTCTGTATTTTGTTTGACTTCATATCAGTGAAAATATTTAATGGTTTAGCATTTGCCATCTATTTTCTGCCTTTGAATATGCAAAGACATTTAATTGAATAGCGAAGCAGTAGGTGGAAAGAGAAAGGAAGCTTTTCGCTTTTCAAATCATTTCAGGGACATGCTGCTTATTAGTTGCTGTGGAGAGCGACTAACAGAGCAAATCTAAAGTTTTTTGGTTCATGTTGTGATGTTGAGTCAGAGAATCAGCCGTTAAACAATAACACAGTTGCAAACAGTTAAATATTAATACAAAAAATAATTCCTTTTAAACCTTATTTCCATAAAACAAGTGCAAAAATCCATTATTGTATTAAAATATGTCTGGCTGCTATCAAAAGGAAATAACTTGTTTTTGTATCCTTTTGTTTGGAGAAGATAATGTTCAGCTTTGTTCCTTTAAAAAATAACTCAATTACAGAGAAAATGGACTTCATGAAAAGTAGATTTTCTTTAAACATGTTGTCCAAATCAATACCTGAACATGTTGCAATAACACAGAGAAAATGTCTGAATGAACACTGACAGGTAATTGAAAGGGACAGGCATCACTTTAACCTTGAGAAGACCCCCACTCAGTTTTGCCTAAGCCCATCACAGCGATTACAGAATTTAGTTCTAGCCTCCTAATCTGCAGATCCACATTAAACTGCTCCTCAGGAGGTTGAACAGAGGGGGGTGTTTTTGTAGCTGAGTATTAATACAAAGCTCTATCGCCTGAGTTTTCCGAGTCGGCTCATTTCAACACTTTTATTTTGGTTAGAATTAAACAATGATCACAAGGTGAAGATGTGGATTTTTCTATTTAATTTGAGGGCGTTCACATTTGCTTATTGGGAATGTAACCGGTTTTGTGCACTAAAGATACAAACAGCCATGAGCCTTACTGTTCACGAAATATGGATGTAAACAAAGTCAAATATGCTGAAAGCTAAAAAACAAAGAGTACTTTAAATCTTTTTCAAGATTTTAAAGTACTCTGTGCCCTAATGAATTACTCCATGTGGTATAAGCAATTGCCAACAAATTCATTCTCAGCCCAGGCTGCCAAATACTGCTGTTCATTCAGATCATACTGGCATCTCAGAGATACGGACAGGGTGCCCTTCAGTGTTGCTGCCTTGAGGGTGCTGCATTATTGGACAAGGAGAAACACCAGTCTTTTGTTGAGGAGAGAGACACGGACAACATGAGGAGGTTGATTGAGTGCTGATGGAATAATTCTTTGTTCACACCAAATATGTAGCAAAGTTTTAGCACAGAGTGATTACATGCAAGGTTTTTGAAAAAAGACAATATAAGAGGGGCAAATCTGCAGCCGTGCATGTTAAACACTCTTCAGCATAAGTGAACCAACCTGAGATTCTCCCGGAGACTAGACTATCCTGATGCTACTGACAGAAATTCATCAGAAACAGATGATGAACTTATTGATAAGGGCAGCTAGAGCTGTTAGTTCAACTTCACTGTTAAAGATAGAAAAGCAAAAAAGAGGTGTACTTGAAGAAAAATGGGCAAAAACTTCAATCACTGTTCTAAAAAAATGGAGGTACACTTTTGAGTCAAAGTATTCCAGGATACGGGCAGTTTCTTTAAGAGAGCCGGATAATGCTGCAGGAGGTCTTCAACCCATCAGCAGTGCTGGTATCTGCTTCTTTGTGCAAGCAGGAAAAGGATGAGCACTGTCAGAGCCCTACAAAATGACCTACAGCAAGCCACTGGTGTGAATGTGTCTGACCAAGCAATTAGAAACAGACTTCATGAAAATACCCTGAAGACCCAGTGTCCTGTAGTTGGCCCTGTGCTCACTTTGCAGCACTACGGAGCCCGACTGGCATTAAACATATAATACCAGTATTGGCAGGTCCACCAAGTTGACCCTGAGAACATGTTACAGACATGAAAGTGTCTGCAGAAACCATGAAGGACGTTGTGCTGCCTTTAACATCATTCAGCACGACCGGTTTGTTGGTGGGTTAGTGATGGTTTGGTGATGCATATCTATGGAGGGACATACAGATGCTGACTGCCACTGGGTATCAGGATGAAATCCTTGGACCCACTGTGAGACCTCACACTGGTGCAGTGGGTCCTGAGTTCCTCCTGTGCTTGACAATGTCCAGAGTCATGTGGTGAGATTAATCAAGGAGTTCCTGGAGGATTGACTGCCCCCCACACTTGCCTGACTTAAATCCAATAGAACACATCTGGGACATTATGTTTTTGTCCAGCTGCAAGGTTGCACCTCAGGCTGTCCAGGAGCTCAGTGATGGCCTGATCCTGATCTAGGAGACCCCCGTGGACACAACTCGTTGTCTCATTAGGAGCATGTTGTCTGCATACATGCAAGCACTCGGGAGCCAAACAAACCATCGAACACCATGCTGAATTGCTGCAGTGAAGTTTTGATTAAATATCCTGCCGTGTCATTTTTCCTTTTGATCATCTTTTGAAAGCTTTGTCTCTTTGCTTTGTTTCTTTTTTTGTTTACTTGTTGATTTGCTTTTTTGTTCAGTTTTTAGCTTATCTGACCAACGTTCTGATGAGCTCATGAGATTCACTACTCCTTTTAAAGCAATGATCAGCTTTGAGTAAAAGTCTTCACCCAAACTGTGCTCAAGGTCAAGGTCACTTTTCCATTTTAACGCCACAACCTGCAGAGGTTTTGCAAATTTACATGCAAAAACTAATAAAGAAGGTGCAAAAAAAGTGATCCCCCTTTCCGTACTTTACATGCACATCAAACAATTAATTGTGACAGACCAAGAGCCAGATGAGCAACTGATTTGATTTAAGCACCCAAAGGAAATAATTTTCACTTGAGTTAAAATACGCCAGTTCATAAAATCAAAATGACGCTCACACATCAGCTTTAATCGTGACACCAGAGAGTGTTTTTCAGTCTCCTATATGTGACGAGTCCAGATTGACATACCTGTCTCACTTGGCAAATTGCCGAGAGACGCCCGCAGCTAAGCAGTTATAGCAAAACAACAGAATGTGAACTGGGAATGGAACACAATTAATGTTCATACTGCATTTTTTTTACATCAACATAACAAAGAAACATTCATATCAGACAGATCTGTTACTGTGTGATCCCACAATATCTGCTTTAGATTCTAAAGAATTCTTAACTTTTAAATGGTTAAGTGTGTTGTGATTATCTATATGTTTTTCTTCAGTCTTCCAATCCATTATTCAATACTTCAAGACTTCCTAACTGTGTTTATGGCGCTCAGTCCCAACCCCCTTGGTTCCAATAAATATTTAAAAAATAGGTCACAAATACGGAGTTGTCTTTTCTTCCAACAGGCTAAATAATTCCCTGTACTTTTCTATCAAAAGCTTTTCAAAGAAGAAGAAATGATACATTTTAAAGGAATGTTTTCAGCAGTGGATCTATGGGCACTTGGTTCTCCAGTGACTGCTGTGTAAAATGAGGAAAAGGTTAAATAAAAAAATGTGTGTATCTTTTATGATGAAGGAGAGTGTCACCAGTACAACAGGCTAGTTCACTGAGAAATATGGAGATATATGAAGCTTTTTGTATTTATTCTAAATAACAATATATAGTATTGTGCAAATATCTTGAGACCCTGTTATTTCTTTAAATTTTGCCAATTGGCAAACAGGTGTGGCAATATAATAAAACATGTGTACACATGCATGGAAATACAGTATATGAGGCAAACAGAATTTGTACATTTCGAACAATAGTTGGTGTGACCACCTTTCTTCAACACAGCCCAAACTTTCTTAGTGTTATATTGTCTTTAAATAGTCTTCAGGGACAGTTCTCCAGTCTTCATGAAGAACATTAGAAGTTCTTGTTTGGATGTTGGCTGCCTTTTGTCCATTCTCTGTCAAAATGATCCAAGACTGCTTCAATAATGTTGAGCTCTGTGGAGGCCAATCCATGACTAATAGCTTCCCATTGTATTTTTTTGTATCCAGCTATGCTTTTACTAGCAGTGTGTTTGAGATCATTGTTACACTGAAAATGAAGCTGTTGCCAATCAGATGCTTTCCAGATGGTGTTTCATGGTGGATCGAAATCAAATGGTACTTTTTTCTGTGTTCATAATTGCATCAATTTTAACAAATCTCCTACCCAACCCAAAACACGACAGAGCCTCTACCATAACTTACAGATGGCTGTAGACATTCACACTTGACCTTATCTATACATAATGACAATGATTTGAACCAAAATTTTAAATTTTAGAGCAGGGGTGTCGAACTCCAGGCCTCAAGGGCCGGTGTCCTGCAGGTTTACATCTCACCCTGGGTCAATACACCTGAATCAAATGATTAGTTCATTACCAGGCCTCTGGAGAACTTCAAGATATATTGAGGAGGTAATTTAGCCATTTGTGTTGGATCAAGGACACATCTAAAACCATGACACCGGCCTGGAGTTGGACACCCCTGCCATAAGACCTGTTACCACTGATTTTCAGTCTGGTTCTTGTCTAATTTGGCGTACTTTAACCTTTTCTCCACA